GCATCACACAGCTGCTGTAGATTTGTTGGCTGCACACCCTGCTGTTCCAGTTTACCGAGCTCAGACTGGTGGTGACTGTGGAGGCCGTTTGAGTCCAGTGAGCTCCAGTTTGAGGGTTATTGTGCATAATCCTGCTGGAAGAAACCGTGAGAAGATGAATGGGCGTGGTCAGCAAATGCACTCGGGTTGTTCAGTTTAAATGATGCTCGAGGGGCTCAAAGTGTGCCAAGGAAATATCCCCCACACGTTACACCACCAGGAGAGGGAGCTGTTCTGATTCTACCTTCTGAATATTACAGCAGAGATCAAGACTCATCAGACCAGACGACGTTTTCTAGTCTTCTAATATCCAGCTTAGGTGGACCTGTTTGAACCGTAGCTTTAGATTGCTGCTGTTAGACAGGAGTGACTCGCAGTGTGGCCTCCTGCTGCTGCAGCCCATCTGCATCAAGGTTCAAAGCATTTTACACTCAGACGCTCGTCTGCTCAGCTGTGAAATTATGTGAGTCATTGTTGCCTTCCTGTCATCTCAAAGCAGCCTGGCCTTTCTCCTCTCACCTCTGGCATCAACGAGACGTTTTCTCCCAGAGAACTGCCGCTCACTGGAGATTCTCTCTTTCACTCCGTCCTGGTGGCTGTGTGGGAAACTCTCAGTAGATCAGCAGTTTGTGAAACACTCAGACCAGCACACACTTAAATCACCTCCCATCCCCATTCTGATTCTCAGTTTGACCTTCAGCAGATCTTGATGTGTCTACATAATAAATGAGGTGAGTTGCTGCCATGTGATTGGCTGATTACATATTTGAGTTAAAGAACAATTGAACAGTACTTGTAAACTTGCACAAATACACAGTTCATGTAAAGCACAGAACCTCTTACTTAGATAAAAATAATCTCTTATCTTTATCTCAGAGGCCCTTTGACTTGTTTCTGATGTCTAAAAGGAGGTCACACCTTTAACTGTTTTAACTGACCCCGTTTACAGCCCAACTATGTGAACGCAGAAAAGCTGAATTGTTGCTAGGTGATTGAAGAAAGTTTAAAGGCTGCATTTTTGGCAAATGCACTTACATACATTGTTCTTAACACAGAGTTTTTACTGCAGTCTGCCTAAACAGAGCTTTCAGTATCAGAGCTCTTGCCAGTGAGGTGGGAGGAAAAGACCACAGAGAAGAACCATGGATGTATTGAAGGAGGTCGTAATGAGAGCTGGTGTGACAGGATGGGTCTGATGACCCTTCAGAGAGGCCTGAACTTATGTATCGGTGCATTACTGTCTATATTTTCCTAATCAAAGCCTCTGTGGAGGAAATGGATTTCTGCAGTTTAATCAGTCTCGATAAAGACGTCCTGGGAGTCTCTGGGGAGGTCAAAGGTCACAATTTAGTATAGAACTCCCTAACATATGGTTGGATTTCCCACTTAAAGGCAGATCCTTTGGAGAAACTCATCTTGAATCCAATCTAATCTACAAATGAATGACAGTGGAAATGATGCAAAAAGAGGGAGACGCACAGCTCAAATGAAGCTGCCACCAGGTGGAGCCCAGCACGCATGGAAGTGCAGTCAGCGGCACGTGGAAGTCCTATCAGGAAGGACGCAGTTTTTTAACAATTTTCCACAGGTCAGGCCTTCAGAGAGCGCTTTCCAGATCAAACTGAGCGAACGCAAAAGAGCCACTCAGTCAGACGCGTGCTGATGTTGCACTCAGTGCAGTGGCATCATGTTATGAAACTAGAGGAGTGGAGAGTACCATTCAGCTCAGTGGGGATTTCACAGTAAAAACAGACACAAAAAGCAGAAATCCACATCTTTCCATTCCTTTCATCTCTCACGTAATAATAATAATAATAATACTAAGAGCTTACTGCAAGAGGTGGTGGTGGTGGTGTGTGTGAGTGTGTGTGGATGGAGCATTCAGAGCTTTCCTCCAGCAGGGGGCAACGGAGGACGGTCTGGGGGAGCGGTGATGTCAGATGTCATTAGCATATTTCTGAGTATATCTAACGCTTGCGCAAAGACGCGCCACTACTGCTGCAACAGCGCGCCGAGCACAACCTTTCCAGACATCAGCCGACACATCGGTGAGTAAACAGCTGCTCGGCATCTCATGCTGCTTTTCTGTTTTTGTGATCAGCCTCTTTGTGCTGCACCGTGTGCAGCTGGGAGAGCGGAGACTGTCGGAGTCGATGCGGGTAAATGCGCAGTGGAGTGGATGTTGTGCCAAAAGTGATGCCACAGCAAAGAAAGAAAAAGGAGACAGAAGATGATTCGATTTTTTCCTCTTTTCTTTCTGTCCTTGAGTTAAGAGGGTTGCAGGTTTTCTAAGCTCCCATCAGAGTGTAAATGTGACAGCAGGGTGGGCGTGTGTGCAGCGTCTTTGTCTCAAGCATATCAGCCCACTTCCTTTGTTGCTGTGTGTGTGTGTGTGTGTGTGTGTGTGTGTGTGTGTGTGTGTG